TGATCTATTCGATCAAAAGCTTTTTCAAAATCAAGCAAGAATACTCTCACCGCATTGCTTGAAGCATCTGTAGCACTCAGGAGGTGATGGATCAGGCTCAGTAGGGCATGGGTAGCCGAGGAATTTTTAACGGAGCCAAACTGCCGCGTATCAATCTTTGCACCAATTGACTTAAGTAACCAGTCTGTAACAAACTGTTCGCAAATTTTGGATAAAGTGGGGGTAAGTGAGATAGGGCGCAAATCTTTAGAAATGTCTTTAGGGACTGATTTTTTTGGAACAGGGATAACGTTCGCTTTTTTCCACATTGAGGGTACAACTGCTTCTTGAATCGAAGCGTTGAAAATCGATGCTACAGGGGAAGAAAGAACGTATGCATAAGATTTAAGCACCCAATTAGGTATTCCGTCAGGACCAGGTGATTTGGAAACGGGGATGGCGGACAATTTACAGTATACATCTTTTTCTTCGATAATAAACTGTGGAAGGATACTTTTACTGCCATTTTCAATTAGGTCATCAACTGGAGACTTATTCAAGGGAGGAATATCTTGGGTAGATGAGACAAAAACATCATTGATTTTATCTGTTAACTCTTTACCAGCAAAAACCTGGTTGTTTACAACGAAATTAGAGAATGTTTTGTTCTTGGCGAAACCCGCAAGCTGTTTTATACATTGCCACCATTTTTTAGCATTGGGGTTTAGTTTTAACTCATCCATCTTTTTCTTAAGGAAAGTTGACTTGAGTCTCTTACTTTCTCTATTGGCAAGATTTCTCAATCTACGATATAGCGGACTTTTGCCCTGACGAAACGCTCTTTGTCTATTTTCTATAATTTTCTTAAATCCGACTGTAACCCATGGTTTATCATGATCGTGCAACTTTACAATTTTACTAGGGAAAAACAGTCCAAACCAGTATTTATAACTGTTTGAAAAAAATCTAACTTTTGTTCACATGATTCAGCGCGGTACAAGTTGTTCCAGTTTATATCAGCTAGCCACTTACCGAATGCTCTCCTGTCATGATTGTTACCTTGTCTAGTTTTCACTTTTGATGTACCATATTTAGCTGTATTTTTATTAAAGGACCACAGTATGGAATTATGGTCACTTTGGCCGACAGGGGGTAATAACACCGGAGAGTTACAACAGGTAGTCATATTTGTCAAAATTAAGTCCAATGTGGAATTTCCTCTTGTGGGTTCTTTAACTATCTGTTTCAAAGTAAAATGACGTAGTAGGGAGGAAATTGGGCATTTATTAAAGTCTCCAATGAGAAAAATACCAGCGTTGGGGTACAATATAAGAGCAGCGTCAAGGTTAGATGTTAGGTGATCGATTAAGGCACAGTTATCATTGGAGGGAGGGTGATAGACCACACAGATAATCAGGCAGGAAAAGCCACGGAAAAGTTTATTTGGTCTCAGGTAAAGCCAAAGTGATTCAAAACTGTCTTCATGCAAATCTGTTAAGATTTTAAAAGGAATCTGGTCTTTAATATAAACACAAACGCCACCCCCGATTCTAGAAATTCTATCACGCCGAACTAAGGAAAAGCCACTAATTTCAACGGCACCGTCATCAACATTTTCATTTAGCCATGTCTCAGTTATAAAGGCCAACCCAACCTCATTCATATGCAAAATAGTTTTCAGTTCATCAATCTTAGGTAAAAGTGATCGAGAGTTCGCTAGAAAGAAAGTTAATAACTTTCGCGGAAGGCGAAGGGAAACGGTGGTTGGACAGGGATGTCCATTAAGGTTTTCGGGCAATGTTGAAAAAACCGAGCAAATTGGGAGTAACTTTGAGGACTTCGGTTGACACTCATTCCGTGTGTTCTTAAATGTGGGACCATAGGAGGACGATGGTAAGGATGGTAAGAGAAAAAAGGTGGGTTGGGATGGTTATTAACAGGCCGTGATGCCGTTCTGTTATGATTGGTACTGTGGGACCATATGATCAGATATATCATTTATAATATTTCCACTTAAGTAGTATAGAAAGGCCGGTTCTAGCGCATTTTCGATCCGCTTTCTGAACCGGTTTAAACCGGTTCGGTACGATGTCAGTTAATTAATGACGTCATTAATTAATTCGGGCTGACTTTGTTTTTTGACGCATTTTTCCGAAATTCAATTATGACGTCATCAATCATGTAAGCAAATTTTCGGCTCGATTATGACGTCATCAATCACGTGATCAAATTTTTAGCAGACATACAGACGCAAGATTAAGTATTTCGTACAAAGATATGGAATATGTCCCAAAATGGACACCTTCCCACAATGCAACCCGATATGACGTCATCACAGCTTCTGGGACTATTTTTTTAATCCTTCCGAGAGAGTCGGTGGTGTCCTATTGCTAAAGTGTGTATTCCGTCGGATGGTATAACACGCTTATCATCGTTTGCCGAAAGTGCCGTGCCTTGAATCGTTTGGAGATGAAATGTCTTATAGAGAACCGTATATAAAGTAAAGTATGACTACCGCGGTGAGTAAGGGAACCCGACCCCAAGTCCGGAAGACGGTCGACATTTCCGGAACTGAACGAAGACGGTTCCCGGGGTACAAGGGGAAGTCGGACAGCACATTCTTACGTAGACTTGCACTCGAGAACGCGCGTATGGAGAGGGAGAAAGCGGAAATGATGGTCGGACTGCATGACACCAACCTGGAGCCTGAACCGGACTGGAATACCGCTTCCGACGACTGTGACGACCATGACGATTACGACGACTATGATGATTATGACGACTATGACGAAGTGTTCGAGAACGAAGTGTCTTATAGAAAACCACATATACAATAAACAATGGGAAGTGAGAATATGTTCGAACATTACACTAAGGAGAGGGTGTACAACCAGAAGCCGAAGGCGTAACCGTATCAGAAACGTTGTTCGGCTTGTACGATTTGGGCTAGTTGGAAGGTTATTACCAAGGATTTCTGGTGTAAGCCTATGAAACACAACCTCAGATATTTTAGGTAATTTTTTAGTGGATTTGAACCATTAAAAAATTATATCTATTTTCGAGCATCATTACCCAATAGGCATAACCGATCGGTCTTTCCATCGTATCCTAAACAGATTTCCCATACCATAGGGTGGTATGGAGAACATCCACGATTCTGCGAAATCGTCGGGTTGTCCCAGATTGATAGCAAACTTCAGACCTTTCAGTGTAAAGTTGACTATTTCTCCAAGCGTTATATTTTCCGGCACGATGAGGAAAACTACGATACCTATTGGCGGACCTGAAGGTGTAGCGTTCACACCCATAATTATAGCGTCCGTCTTTCCCGCAGACCAGAACCTAGTGGTTACCTCTTTGCTACCTTTCCGGTCTGTGAAGTTTATTTCAGCATCCTCGAATTTCGTATCCTCACACATTTCCGAAGTGAACTCTATCGTTTGTTGGGAACATTCAAAGAACAGTTGGACTTTCCTATAGACACTCATGGTTTTATTTTTGTATAGGAAAGTTTGTTTCATAAGACGTTGATTTTATTCCTCCTTTTCCGAACAACCTGCTCTTGTACTGATCACGTGTTTTCCGACAGTGATCCCACCACTTAGTATTCCGATAAGTGGGATGTATGGTGTTACGTAACTAACAAGGTTTTTTATATCTTTTCTAAGCAGATCATTTTCCTCCAGTTCTTTTTTCATTCCTTCAGAATCCTTAACAGCATCCAGCGCTTCCATGAGTTCAGAAAACTTGGTGATGATGACAACAGCCAGTTGATTGTTCGTGTTTTCCAGTTGTTGCCTGTCATAG